ACTCCAGATCAGGATTACACTATGTCCAGAATACTCTGCAAATACTCTATCTGAGTTGGCTTCTCAGAATGAGTGACCATGACTGAAAAGATACAAACTGTGGCTTGTTACCAACAGTGCCAGTTGGATATGTAAGCTCTGAGACAGATAGATGATAGGTAGGTAGGTAGGTAGAAAGATAGATAGATAGATAGATAGATAGATAGATAGATAGATAGATGATAAATAATACATACATAGATGATATTGATAGGAAGATAGATACATAGATAAATAGGTAGATCCATTCATCCATCTATATATGCATACATACATGATACATACATAGATTATATATACATATATATGACAGACAGCACCCACTTCTACATGGCTATGTAAGATTGATTTTCAACTCACCCTTTTGTTGCCAAAAGAGCAAACATGACACTTCTCAGATACTGAAGACAGGACTGGTCCCTGGCTGTCTGTAGCTCAGGGGGTGGACACTTGCCTAAGATACTGAAGATGACAAGTGCTACCATCAGCAAGATGTTTTCATTCAACAGATTCTGTGGGATCAACTTCCCTAACCTCCTAACAGGGGAATAGAAATTTGGGTTTGATTGGAAATGCAACTTGAAACATTCTTTTGATGCTGAAGTGTGACGGACACACACACACAAAGATACACAAAGCATCCCAGTGACAAACCATCCCCCAAAATGTTAGCTAGTGTCAGGTAAGATCACTGTGAGCTACGGATGGAGGTGAGGAAGTGTTTTTTCTCAGCCATTATGTTATCTTAGGGTGGTGGGGTGATGCTGTCTTTGAGTGCAGATGGTACAGTGGTGAGCCTAGCTGCCACCCAAGATATTTTAACTTGGAAAAAATTAATCATTTCTGGAAAACAGAAATTGGCAGATTGGACCCTCAACTCAGGTACACATACAAAGATCCCAGGAGTCACCTCCACACTGGTGTTTGGTTATGTTTGGTGACTGAGCTCACCATACTAGGAAAGCCTATTACAAGACCACAGGAGCCTGACCCACCACGTACCAGGGTATACCAGGGTGGCCATTGCATCAGTGATTTCCTTTGACCCTCTGGTGAAGGAGATATGTGTGCCGTCATTTCCGCCCCACAGATAAACTGAGGTTTTCTGTATAACCAGTGAGGAGCAGAGGAGGGTCTTGGCCTTGACTTTTACCACACAGCTTCTGTATGCATCCACCAACCCTCTCTCACAGACAGCTGCTGGTTTTGACCTTTACATGCTTTCCCATTGCCCCAGTCATATATGCTCTGGCCTTGGCAAGATGCAAAAAAAAAAAAAAGAAAAAGAAAAAGAAAGAAAGAAAGAAAGAAAGCGAATTTTTACAATACATTTAGACACCTTCAAAATTCTAGATATTATCACCTCACAGAGAAGCAGCATAAAGCAATTAACAATATATTTTGTACTCTCCTTTTTGGAGATACTAAATCATCAACATCAGGTGTGTGCTACCTTAAACACACATTCACACATTCACACATCACATGGTAGATGGGAGCTGCCACATTGACCAGGAAGCTCCAGATCGTGTAAAAGTCTCAATAGGAGGACATGACAGCACCCGAGACCCTGTGGCTGTGAAGACTGGAATCAGTCCTTCCGTGCTGACCATTAAGACTTCAATTTGTAAAGAGTTTTAGTGGCAGAGGGAAAAAAATGCCTATATATTTCAATCGGTGAAATTATTCTTCAATTCTAAACAACAGTAACAACTCTGTAGCCTTAGCTGTCTTAGAACTCACTCTGTAGACCAGGCTCCAAACTCATGGATACCTGTCTCTGCCTCCCATGTGCTGGCATTAAAGGCCTGTGCCACCACTGCCCAGTAATTATAATTTTTTTCTTAAGACTTATTTTTTACTTTTAATTATATGTACGTACATGGTTGGGTATGTGGATGTGAGTACAGATGCCCTTGGAAGTCAAAAGAGGGAGACAGAACCCTTGGAGCTAGAGTTCCAGGTGGTTGTGAGCCTCTGCCAGAGGTGTGTCCTGGGAACAGAACTCAGGTCCTGTGTGAGAACAGTAGTGTGGGCTCCTGATCACGAAGCCTCCTCTCCAGCTCTCTCTTTTCTTTTTGGTTTTCTATACTTTACAAATGTGGCAGGAAAAAAAAACACCCTAATTTCTAGTCGTTACTCAGAAAATACTACTTTAAATTCTGCAGTGATTTAAACACTGAGTCATGAACTATTTATGGGACTCCTCTAAGCCTGACCCCGAGTCTCCCCAAGATGATAAAGTGTCTGTGGATGCTGAGAAGGAAGGCGTTGGTACAGTCTTGTAGGGAAGAAGAGACTTCCTGGCTACACAGATATTTTTCCTACACCTAAAGTTGGAATGCAGGAGATATGTGCCAGTGAGTGCTGCAGGAGATGGTTCAAATAAAATCTGTTTGGACAGCTCAGGCCACATGTGCTGGCCCAGAGTCGTGGGAGTTGTCCTTGTGGAGGAGCAGAAGCAGCTGGGAGCTGGGGGAAGTGTTGAGACTCGAAAAACAGGTGACCATGCATTCTTTCAGCATGTGAAAATATGAATCAAATAATTTGCAAAACACCCACAGCTGTTGGTAGGGGACACAACACAGGTACTAATTTAGACTCTTAACACACGTTCTCTCTCTCTCTCTCTCTCTCTCTCTCTCTCTCTCTCT